GTAAATTATCCCCAACAGTAATGCCATGTAGATACATCAATGTATAATATCCCTATCAAATTTGGTGCAAATCCTTTGATTTGTTCACCAAATAATTTTCTGGAACACACCTTAAACTCACACTTGAGCCAAAAATGAATCATATAATTTGTAATAAACAATTATTTATTTACATTAATGATGTGTTTTTTTTTACTCTGATTTTAAATGCATACATGATCAACAAAGTGATATGTACATGTACATTGATTTATTCAGTTTGGTCTGCTTCCGAACTTTCATTAGAACATGAAGACTGTAATGAATCTGCCAATACAGCATCCGATTCTAAACTGCACGTGACTCATCACTCTCTGTATTGGCACAGTAATGGACCATATATTTTTCTACACAATTAGCATGAGAGTCGCAATTACTACAAGAACAGTTCCGTTCACATATATCACAGCAGTTGTGATTCCTTGTTTTTTAAAACACTTAAGTATTTACTGGATGTAAAATCTTCAAATAATTAAACTCTCCTACAAAGAGTATCATTTTTGACATAACTTTTTAGTTCTGGACAAATGTCGCATAACATTCCACCGTGATAAAATAACGCGGCATGAGATGGTTTACCATCTCTTCCAACTCTGCCAGATTCTTGTATATAGCTCTCGAGATCAAATGATGACCCATAGTGAAGTACATGGTATATTGATTTCATGTCAATGCCCAAGGGCTGTTGTACAAAAAATAATCTCAAAATTAGAAGTAGATAATTTAGTAAACTCTTTTAAGTGCGATTCCTGGACTGTATTTTCCGTCTCGCTGTAATTGAGGGTATTCCTCCTTAAAAAAATAATAAAGTGTTTCTGTTGCATCAATAGATGAACAGTATACTATTGTCCTTTGGGATTCATGTAGATCTTCTCGTAGCTTGTCGACCATTCAATAAAATGATGATGGGATATCTCGTTGAATCTTCAAAACAGATAGTCTGATATTATCTCTGTTTGGGCAAACATTTACAACTTTGCAGTCTGCATAATTAAATTTTCCTTAATCTGATTTTGCAGACATTTTGATGCTGTTGCTGTTAATGCCAAAACTCCGACACCAGGAAAAAACTATCTCAGTTCCCTAGTTCGGAATGCCCCTTCTTGTGCCTTTCGTCTGCTTTTGTTACTTGCATCAGATTTTTCACCCCTGTTAAATTGATCAAAAAAATTATGCTAAATTTAGATGTTAAAGAGATTCATGTTGAATTCAAGATTAGGTCATGTTTGTCATAGTTTTATCATTATCGGTACTGGGCCATCAGGATACTCAAAATAAAATAAATAAAATCGAGATTACAAGAATCCAAAATGTGGTACATGTATATGGTGATAATGTTTTTGTTTCTTTTCACTTGTTTCTCTAAAAAATCTCTGACATAGGATGAAAAAATTGTATATTAATATAGTGATACAAATCCTAATATTGTTGAAAAATTTCATAAAATTTACATAAGAATTTAGTCAGTTTCCAGATTATATATACAATGGAAGTTCTTTCCCATGATGCAGTGAGTGGTTTAGAATTACAGATCGACTCAAAATGCCTCTAGTGTCAATTATGGAAATAACATGCATACAAATTTTACAAGCAAGCATACAAGCAATATACTTACCACTTTTGAATAGTATGAACTTCATCAACTACCAATAATACAATCTTATCACCATGATGTTGATGTAGCATGTCTATGAAGGTGTGCTTTGTTCCTTTGGGGTACCATATATATATATAGGTTGGCAACTTTCTATCAATCTGGATATCTCATTTTTGCACTAAATCCCAACAAAGTCAAACTGTCTATCTGGAAGAATTACCAATTAATCAATCACTTAGAAACTAATCACCAAGATATTAAAATAATAACAGGAAGTATAGATTTCGAAATGAGATGAACCAGTCAAATTAAACAATTTCCAGTGACAGTAGAGGATAGAGGGACTGTGACTTGGTCTTTCATTAATGAGACAGGAGGCGACAATATTAAAACACAATCTCCTTGTATCCTTGTTAATGTGACTAACATGAGTGGTAAGCGACTGACTAATTATGTCGATTCTACTTTAGGTCATTTTTTATTATCCAAGAAACGTTCCGAGCGCCTGTGAATAACACTGGTGTTTTTATTTATATCCACACAAGTACGCATTTTCGCGTATATAAATATTGTTACTTGACTAAACGTCCACCAATACCCGACATAGTTCAATCATAATAGGAAACATGTCATATTCAACAAATACTCACCTCATGGTCAATTATTTGTTCCGAGTTTCTCGCTCGATTGGCCGGTAAGCGCCGCCATTTTTTTCATTTTTTGTGTGACAACTTCATGCGCACGCGCAAAGTGCATCACCATGTTTTCGTAAGGCGCTCTGTGATTGGTTGACTAATCCCGTCAGCGGAGAGGTACTTGAACGCGATTTGTATAGGTAGTTGGTCAGATCCTTGTGGGCTTTCGCGATTACCAAAACTTCAAAAAAATACCAGCAAATAAATTTTGAAAAAAATAAATAATAGAATATATGAAAAAAATATGAATGATATTATTTAAAAAAAAAAAAAAGTCCAAACCAGGATCTTATTTTAATCAGATTGACATTAAATAAGAAGTCAGTGTTTTATGAGGGAAATGAAATCGCCACAGTTGATAGTTTTAATTACCTGGGTATAGTTTTCACGCCGAATGGAAAATTCAAAACTGCGTCCAATACTTTAAAAGAGAAAGCTATGTTTCCACTAAAGCAGTCTTTATTAACATTATCACATTATAAAATTAGCACAGCAATGAATTTATTTGATAAATTAATTGTACCAATCATTAATTATGGGTGTGAAGTATGGGGAGAAGAATCAGCAAAACATAGTAACATTATAGAAAGTGTACAGTTTGCATTCTGTAGATTTCTCTTAGGTGTCAGCAAAAAATTCAACAAAAAATGCTATTCTTGGAGAGCTGGGTAGATATCCATTGAACGTCAAAATTGAAACACAAATGTTAAAATATTGGTTGAAACTAAAATCCCCAGTAATTCCAAACATTGTAGCAACTGCCTTTATGGAAATAAACACTTGGAAAACAGGATGGGTAGAAAGAATAGAAGAGATAACTAAAAACAACAATCTTTCAGAATTATCAAAACAACATGAAAAGAAGATAGGGGAGGTACTCAGAGAAAATTATGTAAAAACATGGAGAAGGGAATTATTTAATGACAGCAGAATAAATGGAGCAACAAACAAACTAACTTCATACAGAAAATTTAAAACTACTTTCAATATGGAGAATTATTTAAATGATATAAAAAATTTAAAATTAAGGCGATTATTTTGCAAATTTAGAATTTCTGATCATAAACTACTCATTGAGTGATGAACTA